ACAAAAGCTCTACAGAGCTGGGTGGGGGGGATATGGAATTGAGCCACAGGAGTTATAAACTCCCATGTGCCCCGTGATCCGGACCCCCACCCCCGCCCCGGTCCAACCGTGTCCGTTTCACTCAAGCTTTGTCATGCTAATAGAATTGAGTCTGCAAATATAAAAGACTTAATTTGTTGTTACTGGCCAAGAACTCTCATTATATGCATTCACAGAGGTAAGGAAATATTCTTCCTAAAGGAAAAGCTTTGGCTTCAAGTTATAGTTTCACTAAAATTAGGACACATTTGGTCAATTCAGCATCTAGGGGCCTTTTCCATTTTCATCTAACCTGCTCCAAACACAGAAAAAAAATTCAGATATTCAATATTTCTACACGGTAGTTTAAATGAGAAAAAATTCAAATACAATATAGTATGGATGAAAATACTTTATTCAGGCACCTTCCCTTTCTTTTAAAATACTTTGATTTTAAAAATGTCCCCTTTTCACCTAAATGAGCAGATGTAAAAATTGAGCCACTATGATGAGATTCATGTGGAAATGTGGGGAATTTTATGGATTGACAGGTTGGTGATGTGAGGTCTGTTTTACAGACAGATTCCAGCTGGTTTTAAAATGACACTTTTATATCTTATGAACCTAAAACCAGATATTATCCTCAAAAAATTCTAACTTTTATCTAAAAAAAAAAAAAAAAGAAATGCTTAATATTTTGATGAACAGTGTTTTTTTTTTCTTTTCATTGTAATTATTCATAGAATTATCAGGGCAGAAAAAAGGTGAAGATGTTTCATTCATCATAAAAACACGTGGCACATCTACATTTTTATTCATCTATGTTTAAAGCCCTATTGAAAAAAAACGAAATAGGTTGTAAAGAAAATATTATAAAGTGTCTCATAGATGATTCTGAAATGAAATGTTTTTTAAAAGGGTTTTTTAAAAAAGGTTTGGCTTTAGCTTCTAGAGAACCCCTTTATTCTATTTGGCAGAGTTATTAAGGAAGTTTTATTTTTACTTTTTGCAAACATTTATACTGGGTTATATGCGTTGTATTGTAGATGTAGTTCATTGTAGAAGTTGGTTTCTAACTCACCGAGGCCAAAGCCTTGCCGAGCGCATCTCCAGTCTGTGAGCTTCCAGTAGTTGTCCCTCGATTTGCAGCGACTAGGAGAACGCAGAGTTATAAAAACAGATTAGTCATGATATACAGAGAAGCTTTCCAGCTCCCTGGACAGAATGGATGCTCAGCTTTGATTACACGGATGGTTGGTAAATTAGTCATTTTGGAAAAAAAAAAAAAATGCGTATGTACCCATAACCCCGTCGGCTGAGTTGACGGATGAAGTGTGTGCTGCGGTGACGAACGGTGAAGTGCTGGCGTTGCTCCGGTGGAAGCTTGACATGGGGGGAAGACTGGCATTGATGTCTGGAGAGACGGAGTGTGCTGGGTAGTTCTGTAGGATTAGAAAAAAAAATAAATCAACAGAAACTGTTTGTCTTCAAACATCAATGTATACGTCGTTCTGTGTGTGCGTGCGTGAGGGAATAAAAGCTTTTTTGTTCTCTAAATTGTAATTGTCCTTTGACATCTCCCAGGCTGCGACGGAGGAAAAGTTCATGGGGGTGGAGGGAGGGAGATAAAGAGAGGGCAGGCAGCATCTGCAGGCTCCCTGTGATGCTCTGCCAGCTGAAGCAGGCCAGCAGATGAGGCCAGATCAAACACTGACAAAAACCGGGTCAATAGTGTCTTCTCTGATAATAACCAGACAACGACTTAATGCAAACACACACACATACATATACAGCCACTGCAAAAGTGGACGCAGCATTGAAGGAAAACAGGGCTGCTGTAGCAGGATCATTTGAACTCTTCTTAAAAAAAAAAAAAAATAAATAAATTAACATTTATTTATAACCAGTTTATGTGGTTAGGCATTGTGCAGACTGCTCACCAAACGGTCATGTGAGTGCAGGCTGCTGTAGTTTCCCGTCTGGGCCATGTGAGATGAAGATCCTGCCAGCATTCCCCCGTAGCCAGGCTGACTGATCCCGCTGGATGAGTTCCACGGGTCCGAAGAACTGTGGGTACCATCTAATGGAAACACACAACGCTTCACTTGATGACAGCTTCGACTTCAAGGCAGCAACATGTTTTTAAACACAGAGAGAGTAATAAGTGGAAATAAACTTTGGGATCAACAAAGAAGTATTGGTATGTTGGTGATTTTTTAAAACTTCCTGTGAGTGAAACATAATCACTGCTCTGAAAACAGCTGAGATAAAGAGGTATACACTTTCATTGAAGCTTAGAAAAGAGAAATATCTAGAAACCCTTAAACCTGATAAAAAAGAATCACTTAAATATCTGGGCAAAAAATCTATGTATATATATATATATATATATATATATATATATATATATATCCCCCACAGAAAAAGCATTTGTGGACATAAAATGATTATATCTACAAATAAAGAAAGCAAAGGAAAATCTATAGTCATATTAAATATACAAAATGGTCTTTCTAGGGTTAAAAAACAAACTTCAACCTTAAACATACCAAAGAAAGTGCTTGCAAACATACTGCTGGAAGGTTTGGGCGAGGAATAAGACGGGGAATCTCTGTTGAAGTCCTCCGAGTTCGGAGACGGTGCGTACACCTGGCAAAACAACACGGATTTACAACAACAACTGACCAAACAAACAGTAAAACACTGCAGGATTTATTAGTGCATCCAGAGAGAGAAGAAAAAACATAGCGCTAATAAAAAGACAGAAGACACCCTTGTAAATGTTTTCCTTTCTTCCTAAAGGAACTGCGCCATCATACATACAACTGTTTAATGTCACGAGTCAAACAAAGTCCTGCCGAGGCAGCCCCAAAAAGCAACAAATACACACACAGAAACACACTTTAACGACTAGCAAGCAATCAAGCTCATGAAGAGAGGAGTGGATTATCAGGAGTATTTGCATTTCAGGTCAACTCAGTCTCTAATGGAAGTATAATGATAGCGCTTACGCTGAAAGACTAAAAGCCTGGCAAATTAAAGCATTCCCACAGAGGCAGAAATCAAATAAGTGCGACGAGAAGAGCCTGTTTAACAGTCTTGGTATTTGTACCTGCAAGCTGGTGCTTGGGGGGGGGGGGTGACTCAGTGGCCTTGCTGTTGTACAGCTGTGAGTCTGTGCCAAGCTGGGCGGGCAAGATCAAAGGCACTGGAGGCCAAACTTCAGTGATGTGGTCTCTGACTTCAGATGGTGTGATGGTGGAGGGGTTCTTCCTCCCACGGACAGAACTGGATGACCCTCAGTCATCATGTAACACTAATCAGAACCAGACCATCCACCTGCCTGTTCCCCCCGCGTGTTTAATCCCTCCTTTAACAGCCTCATTTCACACCCTCATGTTGACAGCTCACTCCTCAAAATATTGAAATGCTCACAGAGGAGATGACGCGTTGTTTATGTGTTGTTCTGGTCTGACACCATGCAAATCAAATCAATTCAATTAAAATACTCATTCCCAGCCGTGGGTTCGTCGTGGAGGCAGAGCGAGAGGCTGTGCCCCCGTTGGGCTCTGCTGAGTGAGCAAGACTCCGGCGTGCTGCTGCTCCTGCTGCTGTCTGGATGTGTAATTAAAGTGCTCTGGGAAGGGGTGGAGCTCCTGTGGGTCTTCTGGCTTACACATGTGACCCAGGTTGATAGTAGTCCACAGAGATCTCAGGTTAGCCTCGCACCAGAGCCAAGGCTTTGTCTTTTTTCCTGTGTCAGACGCTCTATGGGCAGCATATGGCGGCGGATCATGCTAATTGTCCTTTTTACCCTGGGCTAACCAGTCCAGGCATTAATAAACCATCCCAAACACCGGGTGCCTCATTCCGTCAGCCTATGGAAGAGGGAGCCCGCCTGGGTTTCCTTTTACAAGGCCATTAATTAAAAGCCGTCACTCACACGGATCAGCACACCAACCCCAGCCTACACCAGCCACTGAAGCAGCAGCCGGTAAAGCTTAAATAAAATGAGCCGTAACACCGACACCAGAGTTCAAAGCATTCATTCATGAAAGCAGGATACTTACTAAAACTTTAACAAATTAGTTTTTAAATGTTCTTTTACTATAAACCACAAGCAGGTAAATGCATGACTAAAACATTAGGAAAAAGAAACTGAGCTACTTATTGTGTCTCTCAGCAGTAAAGAGTGAATATCACAATAACACCTTTCCACAGGCCTCAGAGTGTACTTGTCTGGGGTTGCGTGCCTTTGAGGCTCACGCTACACCAATCAAACCATTAAATGTTAAAAACACAATCTGTCAACCATCACAAAAGGAGGTAGCCTGACAACACAAAGGGGAATGTAAAAAAGTAAGGTGAAAACAGGCTGAGGGCCAACAAGGCTCAAAGACAGGAGCTTCAAACAAACTCCTAGCAGCATGTCCTGTCTTTATTTTCTTTTATCTGAGAGTAAGTCATCACTTGGATTCAAATCAAATCCCTTGGTAAAGCCCAGTTTGCTTACTCTTTTCAAACAACTTTTGCAAAGGCTGCCAACAGAGGAGATATTTTTAAAATCCATGTCAAAACCAACTGAATGTTTCGGCAAACTCCATTAACTTAAAATAGACACAATTCAAATTAAAATTTCACCTTTTTCTGCAAATTATAAGGGGAACCAAACTTAACAAGCTGCAATTAAAAAGCCAATGCTTAAAACATAAGATCATTTAAAATAATATTCTATATAATTGGAACATATACAATATGCTTTGAAATTAAATATTATTTAAAACTTCCGAAATCCGTGCATTGGAAGAAAATAAACCATATATGGGTTTAAACGATAAAAAGCTGTTAAAGCAGGGCAAAATAAAATGGATAACGTCTCCCCTTCCTCTGCAACATTAGAAATTGGTTTTGGAATCAATACAAGTAAACACAGCCAATGTGGTCCATGCATGATGTCCATGATGGGTCAAGACACATGCATACAAACAACCCCCCCCCAGCTCACACTTTGTTTTGGACATGCAGTGAAGCGTTGCATGTTTAAGTGCAGCAGCACATGTGCACACCGTCGAAAGAGGATTGGAGGGGGGTGCTTCTGGAAAGAGTAACCTGTTGCACGACATAAACAACAACAGGTAAATAAGACTACAGGAAAACCTGTTCAAGTATTCACTTTTTTTTTTCTTTTTGACTCCTTGTTTTAAATATTTTATGATCTACATCAATGGTGGACCACTTTAGAAGAAGTATTTATAGAAAAAAAGAAAAGTCCACAAACCAACGCAGCCTCGGATTTAATTTGTTCCTCTTTCACTAACAGGCAGTGGAAGATAGATCAGCGAAATGCTCCATCTGTATTGGTGCTGTGCCACCAGTTCACAAGCCAATGGCTCACTGTGAGTTCTCCCAGTGCTCCAGATGGTGAGCCTGCTATGCAACTTTGCACTGCAACAAATTAATGTGGATCAAGTATTTTTGCAGAACCGTCTATTTTTTTCCCCCTTGCCTGAAAATCAGAGGGAAAAAAAAATAAAGTAATTCAAGGTTGTTTAACAAGAGCTTTTGATCAGAAAGTTTGCCCATTCTGTCCACATGCTATCAATTTTCCTCCCCATCACTAACTGTAACACAAGCCTGTTAATGCTTAAAATAAAAAGAAAAGATCAAAGTCATCTTTTGTCTAGAGGGAAGAAAAGGGGAAATACTTTAATAGGCTGTAAGGAAAAAAATAAACAAATCCAGAAGGAGATGACCTTTGAAATAAATTCATAACATTTAGCATTTTTTTTCCTTTCCTTTAAACACATGTGGCCTTGGGATAATATCAAAAGCACAGGAAATGACAGGTGGAAATCTACTTATGTAAGTTACTTATGAGGATTTAAGTGATACAGTATATGGGTCTATTAAATCAACCTTTATAATACTAAACCCTTACTTCAGTTCCTTCAACATGAAGACAGCAGAAGTAATCCTGCAGACCTGCATTGCAGCCTTAAACAACACTTTAAGACTGACAAGCACCTTCAACACACACGCACACCCAATCATGCATGTATACACAAAAAGAAGCACTTAAAACGAGAGAGTGTTTTCAGAGCACCAAAAAATCAAAGAGGTGATTACAGAGAAGTTCAGAAATCACATTAGGCTCCCTGTGGCGTCCAGAATGCCAAAGTGATTAGAAACAGATGGAATAACAGCAACACTGGTGCTTGGAGCTCAATCTGCAAACAGGAAAGTCCAACCTCAACAGGCAGCCTCTTTTGCCTTAATCATTCCCAGACTCCCACTTGTTATTATTTCAACCAGGTCTTAGAGCTGAAGAAACCAGCCAGTAAAAATAAATGCGACGCTGTGCCACGCTGCTCTGTTCCGTGATCCAGAAACTTCTGCTGAGCTTTAAAGTAGAATTAGATCAACATAAAGTTTAAAGGACTTTTTATTCCTTTTTTTTAACTCATCAAAATCATTTCATCTTAACCACATAGAAAGAGTTGAAATGATGGAAAATCATGGAAAATCAGCAGGAGTAGCCTTGAGCACAAGCATCCACAAGTTGGACCCAGCGTTTTCATCTGATTATGACTAAATCATAAAAACTTAGGAGTGCTTTCAGAAAGAGAGAGGCACAGCGAGACCGACGGTTGAAAGCTCCTCTCTGCTTCAGTCACACAAACACACACATTCCCAAAGAGACTACTCACCGATTTCCCGTTGGAGTAATACATTAAACAGTTACTGCCCATTCCAGGGACTGGGTAGGCGCAATACATTGTAGCTTCAACTATTTAGATGATAGCGGCGTGTAGCAGCAGCTTTCCTCTCTACACATACATCCAAACCGTGCAAAAGGGACTAATAATTCTTTCACTACTGGCCTCCACACCAGACCCACTCAGAGGAAACTTATGCAAAGCAGGATTGTACCACTGCACACTGTGGGAAAGGGAGGGGAAGGGGAGGAGGGGGGTGCGAGAAGGGAGTGGCTCGCGTGGTACATCCCTCGCTTAAGCCTCTAAATGCTGAGGCCAAGAGGAAGAGAGGATGGGGGGAAGGGAGGCGAAGGGGAGGTGGGTAGAGAAAAGATAAAGGGAAGTGGGTGGGACGGAAAACAAACGTGTGAGCGGATTTAGAGAGGGAGAGAAAGAAAATGTTTAATTCCAGGCCTAAAAAAAGAAAAAAAAATTAAGAAAGGAAGAAAAAAAAAAAACAATCCAGCTTTTCTGCAGGGTGACGCTGACAAACTGGAACTAAAATAATGGCTTTGTAAAGCAGGATTTGATTAATATGTGTGGCGATCAAATGAGTGCTTAAATAAGAACAGAGAGCCTGTTCACGTCCCAACGTTTTAATCCCAAGTGTCTAATCTTTTTGTTTTTGTGATGATGAAATGAGTCTGCAGGCAGCGAGGCGAATTGTTTGTAAGAGGACGACGGCCTAGAAGCTGATTTCACCTGTTCCCGCACATTAATCAATTCCCAGTTAGGGGTTATTAGTGGAAGGAGTCGAACCTTCCTGTGTGAGAAAGGAAAAGCTGATCAAAACCCATCAGCAACAGGGGGAAAACGAAGGCTTTTGGCATTTTACCAATGAGAGCTATGGTGTTAGCTGACAGGAACCTTTTGCTGAAGTGCCTGTAAACACCGAGTTTTGAAGCATGCAACAGCTGCAAAGGGGTTTGGCTTGTGACGTCGAGCAGGAAAATAATGCTCCGTTTGCAAAACCCTGGGGGCCTCAGACGGGGGAGAGCAGGGGGGGGCAAAACACGGACAGCCATTTTATCATAGTTTACTGTCACACAGCTCCCCATTACCTTCATGAGGTGGCAGCAGGAGGGGAGCAAAGGAGAGGAGAAGAAAGGAGAGGATGGATACCATATTCCAGAGAGAGCCCAGTCTGACTGGAGCCTTTCATGTGCGACTCGGAGCTTGCTGGCCTAAACCCAAGCCTGCAGACTCATTGAGAACATTACAGTTATAGAAAGATGAAAGCCTCCACTTCCCCAACAAAACTAGGCCCTTATTATGCTTTTCCTTTTAGCACTGTTATTATTTATCCCCCTTTCTTCTCTCAATCTCTTTTAAACTCCTCCAAAACACCGGCTCTAAATGCTGTTGCCGTTTTGAAATTTGGCTCTGTTTCAAGTTGATTCTTCAAGAAAAAAAAAAAAAAAGTCTCCCGATAGAAGCGTTTGAAGGCGACTAAAACAAGTCCAGACACAGAGCGTAGCATTGCAGAGAGAAAACAGGGAAGAAGTGGGCAGTAATCAAGGGAATAAGATCACACATAAGGATAAAATGATAACCAGTTAGATACAGAGAAGGCTTTTATTTCAATCGATTTTATGAATCATATACAAACTTGTTGTTTTTTTATCGGTCAGAGGAAGGAAGGCTCAACTCTGCACCTGTTGGTTCAGAAGAAACGAACACCACAAGGTGCTTTTCAGGAGATTTGTTTAGAGGATGGAAGATAAATCTGAGCTCACTTCGACCTCATGAATGGATTTAGCAGTGATGTCATCAGACAGGAAGATTGTTTCCGGTAAGAAGATCTGGTTCTAATTAGGGAAGGTCGACTTGGAGAGCGGGGGGAGGATGCTTAGGGACCCCCAAGTGTATTATTCTGAACCATTTTAACAGATTTTTGGCAGAAAACCAGGAAAATGAGCAGCGCTGCTCCCTAATTCCCAACCAAAACTATGAATGACTAGTGAGGAAATAACGAAGGATATCCATAAAGATCCGAAAAACATGTTTTGAAAGCAACCTGGGTTTTTATGAAAACAAAATTTTATCCACATTCATCACATTCTTGGATTTATTTTCCCTGCAACAGGAGAACAAATAGAAGAAATCTGTAAATGTGAAAAACTATAAAAGGCCTTATAAAAACTTAAAGCAATATAACAACAGGTGTTTATTCATTTATGCTTCATTTTTAAAATATTTGTTGTGCATTACATCTTATTTCATCTCAAAACTATGAAATTGATCAATTTTATGGGTGTGAACAAAAAAAAAAAAAAAAATTTTCCAAGGGTTCTCCTCTCCTCCACATGATAAGGACCTTTATGTTGAGCTAAACTAGAAAACCTAAAGATATATATATATTATGTGTCCATGTGAATCATGATATAACAGTTTTTGAAAAATAATATCAGTCATCTTAGTTTGAAATTGCTTTCTGTATTTGAAAAAGCATTGTTGTCTTTTGTTGGTTTTCTATGTAGTTAAAATAGTATTACTATAATCTTCTCAGCCCTTATCTTAGGCTGCATTTTGCTGTTAAACCCATATTGATAAGGGAGTTTTTTTTTTTAAATGTACTGCTCTAAATTTACACATATGCCATAAAAATAATCCATAATTAAATATTATAATTTTAGGTGGAAAGATTAGATAGGTGATACATCACATTGGCTTCATCATTCAACTTAACCTCTTCATTATGGCCAAAAAAACACAACTTAAAAAAAACATAAAAATATCAGGTCTCCTGACAAATACCCTTTTTTAGCTACATTATCATCCCCCCCCAAAAAATGCTTAACATTTTAAGAAAAATAGAGAATTGTAAGAAAGGAGAATATAAGAGCTGAATATATGTGAATCACAGAGAAGATCTGCTTCAGTGAGGAGAAAGAGAAGTTGTTAGTCTCTGAAAGATTAAGCTAATCTGATTTGAGATGATAAGGGAGAGATTGTTTTGTTCTGGCAGGACCAGAAAAGCTTCTGCATCACAGGAGAGAAGGACAAGACTAAACTGAGAAAAGTAATGTCCAACTGATTCAAGAACAAAAAAACAAACTGCAGAGCATCACTGTTTTAAAATGAGTATGATTTTATCTGGGTAAACAAGCTCTCCTGTCTTTTAAGCTGAATCAAATAAAAAAAAAAAATCCCTTTTATGTCTCCAACACAGAAGGAGACAGCGTGACCACAAGCTTATTGATGGTATCTATGAATCTGTAGTCATGATAGCCTAGCGGGGTTCTGCGTACTGTACTTACTGCGCACACAGGAATACTATGAATTAGATTTTCCCAGACATTTTTATAACGCTCTCCGGCATAATTGACAGCTGGTGTTGGGCAGCAAACTGACAACAGATGAACCTTGGAAGTTAAAAGTGTTTAAAAGCTAAAGGATTTAAAAGCATTTTTCCTACTATCCTTCAGAAGTTTAAAGAAAGTTGGATTTTCTTCTGCCCATATGATCCTTTAAGCTATTGATTATGCTTTGGTTTGCAAAGCTGAAAACATGAAGTGCAGATGAACATATTCTTATTTTTATTTTAAATATAAAGACTTCTTCTGTCACATCATGAGCTGCTACATTTATATTTCTAATGAAGCTACAGAGTAAAGTATTGAACATTTTATGTATTTCTACGCTGTGACTCTGAGCTTCCTGCTGCTCTGTCATATATTTCCTGAGTCTCAGCAGAGACGCTCAGACAGCCTCTAAATAACAAACACTACCTTGGTGATTGTTGACAGGCCATGTTCTTGGATCTGCCAGCGATCTGAGAGCGGGGTTTGCAATAATGCTGCAGACTCACGCAAGGCCAACATGAATAATTTACAACAGCGAGGAACGCGAGTAATGACTTTAATGTGTGCATTATTTTCATTCCCTTTGTCCTTTTAACTCCTTCCTCTCCTTGCGGATGAAAGAGGTGAGGTCTGCGGCTTGTTTGCCTGCTCCATTATCTAAAGCCTCTAATGTATGTTGTAAATTTCGACTACCCAAACATAGATAAAGGCGAGGCCCAGAGGTCCCAGAGGTGGCTGTGACTGTTCAGCATCACCGCGTCAAACCAAGTGTGTCTATCTAATCAGCCATCTGATGAGGGCATCTCCAGGGAGCTCACTAACTGGGGTCGGGTCGGAGACCAGAGGCATACAGGTAACCTTTACATCCTAGCAGCTAAGATGCAGTAAAATGTAACATCTAGGAGATAAACAAACTATCTATCCACACGTCTCCAGGCATAAACAGCGATCAGAGCGTGTACAAAAACTTATACACTCATCAACTACTGACTCACTTCCAGTTCAACACAGATGAAAGTAGCACAAAGTTCACTTTCTGTGTCACAGTTTGAGGTTTCATACGTGGCACTTGTGTTATGTATCAAACATACATCACTCCTTCTGATTTATTTAAGGGACGAGGACAGCTTTTAATCACTTGACCACAAATTTGACCTCTAACTCATAGTACTGATTCAGTCAGCTGTATTTTACTTTGTTATGTACTTATTTATGAATCACATTTGATACACAAGTTTTGAGGCCTCTACATCATCCTGGTGATATTTGTTTTCTAAAAACCTGACTCGAACGATCAGACACATGAGGTAAAAGAAAACACTTGAAAAGAATTGAAAAAAGATGCCTAATATATCACAAATTATACATATAATTCATCTAATTTGACTTATTCAAAATGGATGTTTTTTTTTTTATTTGTCAGAATTTTCTGTGATTTTCTGGAAATTATTTCATGGTTTAGGCTTTAAAGGGGTTGATCATTTTAAGGAGAAACTGCAAGGATAAGGTCACATAAAATGCTCGTGTGATGTTTATGTTTTCAAAAAGTATTTCCACCCTAAGGTTGGGGACAAGCAGGAAGTAAAGATGTTTTTTACACCTCTAGTACAAAGAAAGTTCAGATTAATTCAGTTTTAATTCCTTTTGCTTTGGTTCCGGCCTCATATTGGAATTCGTTTTGCAATTCTGACCTTTACATTTTATCATGGCTTAACTTAGTACAAGATATGTATTGACTCATAAAAAAGCAGCTGCAAACATACTTATTATATCATGCTTTAACTAAAAATCCTCCTTAAAATTATTTTATATTAATTATGGCTGAAACAATTAATCCTATTCATCGGGATTAATCAATTTTTGAAATA